CGAATAATAGCGAAAACTATAACATACATGTACATATATATATATATATATATCTTGTTCTATATACGTACATGTATAGATATACACACAGAGCGTACATTTATAGAATTATTTATAGCGCCTTCGATCGAGATTATTATTCCACTTCCGATCGTGCGTTTCGAGCTCGTTAGCGAGAGAGTAAAAGCTGTATGCGAAGAGAGCTGTGAGAGAAAGGGCTCTCTTTTTTTTTTTTTTTTTTTTTTTTTTGAGGGAAGCGAACAATTTATGGCGAATTATTTATGTGCCGAACACGTAGAGATACGACATAGACGTATACATCCGCTGTGCGATTACTGAGAATTTGTTTGTAGCTCCTCTCGGGAGTCTTTGTTGCTTGTGTATTTGAAAGAGGAGGGAAGGTACGGCGATGAGGGATCGTCTCGTGTGCGGCGCGCGAGAGAGGTCCGCCGATTGTAAAAGTACTTATTATTAAGTATATAAGCGAGTAACACATTATTTATTGCGGTTAAAGTGTGGTGAATTCTAGGGAAGTTATGCAATTACGTTTCGCCGAGTGCAAGACAAGAGTTAATAATAAAGAGAAAAAAAAGAAAAAAAAACAAGGAATTTGTTTCTCACGTCACGTGTCAATCGATTAACCGAACGCGAAGAGAGAGAGAGAGAGAGAGAGAGAGAGAGAGGGAGAGAGAGCGGCACTCTTAATGATAATATTAATAATAATATTGAATATATGAAAAGTGAAATATAGAAACATGGAAGAATTATGCTGATTTATTATAAGGATTCTCTTTGAACCTGCGAAAGTTTAATCGAGCGTTTTAAAATAAATAAAGTGCACGATTATTCGCAACTGACGAGCAAGAGTGTGAATCTTTTTTTTTTTTTTTTTTTTTTAATCCGCTCATTCTTATACGTTTTCGACTTCTCAATTAATCGTTTGTTCGTCGCCATTCATTTTTTGATTACACTCTTTATATCATTCTCACGATAAACGCATAAAAAGTTGACATTTTTTTTTTTTTTTAACGGTTCAGTTTTCACGAAAGAGATACACGAGAAATATGTCTCTCCATCCCGAACGACGATTATCCAGACACATTGTTGTACACAATATAGTAAATTACATATACATAGTAAAATTATAAATATAAATATGGATATAAATGCAAATATAAATATGAACATAAATATAACTATGAAAAAATGAACATATAAATATACAAATATAAATATATAAATACAAACGCAAAATGCAAATATAAATACGATTATAAATATAAATATAAATACGATTATATAAATATGATTATAAATATATATATAGACACATACACACACACAATTACGTCTATATACATATATTATATCCTGTTATAATTAATGCAGTGAAATATTACTTGTATAATCAACTCTTTTTTCCGTATAATACTCTTGTCGAAGTAAACAAAGTATATAAAGCATACTGTACTTCACTTTATTTAAAAAATATTTTGCAGCATTCATTAAAATGGGTTACTCTGTGTATGTGTAGGATACCTTAAAAATTGTGTATCTCTTGTGTTTGAACAACGATCGGTTGTTTTATTAATTACGCGGTTAAATTTGTCGTCGAAGATTAAAGGATTTTGGTGAATTAGAGGCTTCGGAGAGAATGTATATACTTTAATAATATACATAAATCTTATTGATTAGTCAACGTCCGATGAATTTTAACAGATATTTATTTATAGAAGCCTCATAATCGCATCAAAATTATTTAACATTGCAAATCAAAAAGAGAGATCAGCGAACTTGAAAGATTTGACTGCATCGAAGAATCCGCAATTTTCAAGGCACCCTATATGTATATGCTTGTGTACATGCACGCGACGTTATACATATTAAATAACGTAGCTTTAACGTATTTAAGGAATCGATAATCCGATGGTCGAGAAATGCTTAAATATTTCCTCCTCTCGAAGGGATATATAATTATCATATTACGTTGATAATTTCATGATAATCGTTGATTTAGGATAGCGATTGATAAAGTGACCGATGCGAGCAGTCGCTCTATATAACTCGAGATTCAGGTTCGTGTAGCTTCAATTTATATAGCGATAGTTATTTATATAGCTATGTTAACACGTTGATTACCATATCACGTTATCGCGATCTCTGTGAGCGAAAGATTACCTGTTTTTTTTTTCCCCAGGACAACGTCATGTTCCTTGGATCGCGAATCTCATCGATTGTTCCAAGCCCGATTCGAAAACATCCTTGTTCCACTTGTAGCTTCAATTTATATAGCGATAGTTATTTATATAGCTATGTTAACACGTTGATTACCATATCACGTTATCGCGATCTCTGTGAGCGAAAGATTACCTGTTTTTTTTTTTTTCCCCAGGACAACGTCGTGTTCCTTGGATCGCGAATCTCATCGATTGTTCCAAGCCCGATTCGAAAACATCCTTGTTCCACTTGGAATCAACGTGTTAATGACACGACGTGTATTGACGATTCGATGATAATCATCTGCGAGTTCACTTAGCGCGTAGCTTAAGATTTAGTTTGTAATTAGTAAAAAAAATAAAAGGAAGATGAGATAGTGTTCCAAGCTAGCATTCAATCCTTATTTGTTATTTATCGAGCAGGCTTCGACGGTAGACAATGTAAAAATATAACAAAGACGACGAGAGAATGTCGCGAGCGAACATTTCGCCGATATATACATGCGTACATGCGTGTACGTAAGCGCTTCTCTTCCGTCGTAGATCTTCGACAACATTTAGCGATCTAATGCATAAGTTGTGCTTGCAAGCCGCGAGTTCGAATGCATTCGTAAACGACGCAATTGAGTCATTTCTATCTCCAAAGTACGCAAACAACTACTTTTGCAGAAAAATAAATTTTTTTTAAGATAATATATTATATATTTCTCATCTTCTTATAAAAAAAATTTAT